ATATAGTTGGGTCGAAGTCAGCCTCCATGTCAACTATAACCTGCAATGGGAAGGAGCTGAGCTAGTTGGTTGTACATACTTAGATATTGGAAACCAGCTGAACTTACAGAAAAGGGTGAGGAGAGAAAGGAGAAAAGGCATCTGATCGCTGGACTACCAACTATTTATTAACTCTCGGCTTCGTCTTCTATACTGGTCTGGTGGCTGTCCTTTTCACGTCTTCTTCTTTTTCTTTTTTCTTGATCTTCCTCTATCTTCATGGGCATTTGAGTCTCGCAGGAACGTCTTTTCACTTGTTTGTAGGGCAATGGATGGTGAACTGACGCAGTTGTCTTCTTGTTGTTTTATGGCTAAGGCCTCAAGTAGTTCTCGGACGAACCCGTCTTTGTGGTGAGCTAGGATGCTTACCGTTTCGAGCTTGGCCTCGCACATGCATTCTCTACAATGAGCTGCTAGATGTCCAGGTGCAGCCAGGTTTCTTAAGTTTGCGGCATGTTCTCCCGCTCGGTCATTTATACAACGTCCCGTTTGTCCAATGTAGTTACGTCCACATGTCAGTGGTATGTTGTGTACGACTCCTTTGTCGCATGGAACGTATTTTGTCTTGTGTTTGGTGGTACACCTGCCTGTATTGTTAACCTGGGCTAGATTGACCTTCCTGCACATTGCGTGTGCCATGTTGGGTGCCGAGCATACGATATTTACGCCGTGTCTGCTTGCGATCTTTTTTAACCTGTGAGTTACCCCATGTATGTATGGGACCACCGCAAAAGGTGAACGGGAGATATGCTTCGGTGGATCAAGGTCGGTGCGTTGACAAGTTCTTTTTATGTTGCGGAAAATCTTTTCGCAAATGGAGGCCAGGAAGGGTTTCAGATATCCGGCCTCATGAAGCCTGGACATTTGGGTTTCAAAGCTTTTTACCATCTGATGGGGGCAAGTCTTTCTGAGGCTGGCTGAAAGAGCTGCAGTAGCGACCCCTTGTTTTACAATTTTGGAATGTTCGGATTCAAAGGGAAGGAACCCTTTCCCCGATCGCACTTCATATCTCCAACACAAATGTTCTGTTTGGAAGTTCAAGGCCAAATCAAGAAACCGTATGGAATTATCAACTGGGAGCTCGTAGGTGAATGTGAGCCTCACGCAGCTTGTCTGGAAATGCCTGAGGGTGGTGTGAAGGCATCCGTCTGCTGTTTCATCAACTCCAGTTGTACATAAAATAAGAAAATCGTCAACATACCTGAAAATAGCGGCAACTCGCGGGTCTTTTAAAACTTGCTGTATGGCTACCCCACATCCGGCGAGAAAGATGTCGCACAAATATGGGGCCACTTTTGAACCAATGCACACTCCACTCTTCTGGACATAAGGCCGATTTTGATGGGTTACTACCGTTGCGGACAAATAATACCTTAAAACCTCCAACAAGGTGTCTGGGCTAACACCTGCTGCATTTTGGAATTCCGCGAGCCCTTGGTTTTCGATGGAACTTCGGAGGACCTGTACAAGCCTTGCTTGAGGAATGGAGTAATACATGTCCTGTACGTCCAAGGAAAACTCCGAGACGATGTTGTTTCCTTGTTCCTCTAGATATGATATCACTCGCTCAGAGTTTGGTATGTGGAATGGGTCCGCATGGTGTATTGTGGAAAGATGTTGGGCCAAATACCTTGAAACACATGCTTGCCACGTTGGTTTTTTTTTTTTTTTTTGACACTATGGCCCGGAAAGGTATCCCTTCTTTGTGAGTCTTGGCGGAGAAAAACACCATAAGCTTGTCATTTTTTGCGGCTTTGATCTTGGTGCAAAGGCTGTTTTGTTGATTTTTTTCAAAGAGGTCTAAGATGTGTCTTTTTGCTGCTTTGGTTCGTTGTTCGTCAACATTTATAAAATTCTTGATGATAGCTTGATGAGCCTTTTCTCCATATGCATCTGAACCAAGAACAGCAAAACCTCCCTCTTTGTCTGAGACGCATAACTTCAGATCTTTGCTTCGCAATTCGTGAATGGTGGATTTGAAGCTGATCTTTCCGTTGGTCTGGTGTATGAGGATTTCAAAGGCTCGAATGCCCTCATCAATGATTTGAGGGCCTGGCGGCTATTTGCCTTAGGAGAGCTACGTTGTCTGCTGCCTCGAGCTTGGGGGCGATGGCGAACTTGGGTCTTGGGGGCAAAGGCGAACTTGGTTTTTGAACGGAAATATCGTTAAGATCGGAGTTGGGCAATTTAACTCCTATTTATTTATTTTTATTTTCTGTTCCTCTCCGTGACACACTCTTTGTGTTTCGGACCGTTTCTGTGTCATCACTTTTGTGTATTACGGAAGTCAAAGGACATTCCCTGATGACCTGTGCGATGTGGGGTGAACAAACCCCAGTGTTTGGTTTCGCAAAGAATTGTATATAATATATCGACGATGTGGACACCTTCTTTGTCTTAGTAATATGACAGCTAATAGCTAGTCGTGCTAGTTTACTGTGAAAGGTTTATAAATCGAAACAATACAACGTCTGTGCCCTTTGGTTATTGAAAGACTACTAGGCCTACTGATTTGGTTAGATATGTATCTCGTGGTTCCCGCTCTTATCAAAATATAAATAAATATTCAATACCACAAAATCCGTTTATAATTGATTACAAAATGCAGAAGAAAATTCAAGAAAACTTTTTCACAATTCATAGAGACGCATGGGCCGCTATGTCTGACTTAGGTGTTGCAAAACAAGGACGTCTTTTTCCGATATTGAGGCCTAAATATTAAACATACAAACAAAATACACACGTTCTCGGCAATTGATTTTCGTGTAGGCAACTATGATATCTACATTTGAACAAAAAATAAAAAAATAAAAAATGTTTTTTTTAGAAAATCAATTTAAAAAAATGGTACTTTTTGGTTTTCGCATAACATTAACGTAAACGTACCGCAAAGGATATTTCATACAGACGAGTCATTTTATAATACAAATAGAGAGCGTGTTTTGGGCTTTCCGTGGACATACAAAATATCAATGTAACTCAAGTAGATCGCCAGTAATTAATTGTCAAAGTCCGTCAACAATTGACCGAGGGGGCGTTTTTGACATTTTTACAGAAAAACAAAAGCAAAACGCCTAAAGCTATTTATGGTATTGGAGCATTTTAAATGTGTCCACAGAGTGCTTGAAAAAAGTTAGTATAATGTGGACTGAACATCCACGGCGCAAGATCGAGCGAAGCATCCGACCCACGACGGGTGTGAAAAACACCGCTTTCCGCCGCGGCCTCTTTAAAAATTTATAAGTCGAGAACGAAATATCCGACGAACTTGCGGTTTGTGGCGACTGCGGTTTTAGAAACGGCGCCATAAAATATTTTTTTTTTCACCGAAATTAAAAATTCGACCCTTTTTGCCTGCACCCATATATATATCATTGTTTTTTTTAAATCATAAGTAAATAATAAGATTTGTTTGATTTCAATCGAATCTATTTTAATCAAACTAAATGTATTTGATTTATTACAAATTAGTTAGATTTAGATCACTGTTTACCGATGAATGCGAATGGACGATAAAATAATGAACTTAAATAAACGTTTAACCGGGCGATATTGCGCGCAAACTAAAACGAACAACCAAATCTGTAAACCAATATAACTGTATAGAGCGTCGCGAGCGTCCGAGCGGTCAGAAATGCAGGGTCGGGCGCCGGCGAAAGCTAGAGTGCGTCGCGTCGAAAGGGTGTGAGAGAGTCGGCACGGCTGCGTTCGGATCCTTATCGAGTATACACTCGGTTTCTCAAAGATTCGGTCTAGAATGTTCGGAAGTGAGCTAAGGCGAGACTGACTAGGCAAGGTCGTTCTGGCCTCGTTATATTTTACACTCGGGGTAAAAGTATACTGGAATATTCTAGATATACCAAGAAGCGTTCCATTTTGGTCATGCATGGGTCAACTCTACTTTAAACTTTGTTAAGAATGGAACCTTCGGCGACCTTCTTCCGAGTTTCAACCCTGCGCGAAACGAGTCCCGACGAGTCCGGGACCGTCGCCTGCGTGACGGGGCCTGCGGCAACAAGTCTCAACGCGCCCGTGACGTTATCGGGACGTGTGTGTGTGCGTGGTGGTTGGTGCGCTCGGGAAAGGGAGAGAGGCATGGCCTAACTGCGGAGAACTTTGGCTACGTCGCACTGGACTGCGGACTTTGCTGCATCGCACTTGACGGCGGGTTGCTGCATCGCACCTGCTGCCCTGGCGGGGAGTGAGGGAGAAACGGACCCTATATAAGGCGGAGCGCGAGGCTGCTCCGTTGTTCTCTCGGATTTGACGACTGTATCGCTACCATGTAATTAAACCGTTCGTTACGTTACCAAGTCTCCCACCTCCACTGAACCCCTGGGTTCTTCACTTCGGGGAATGGACGTCGTCTCGAGCCAGGAAGCTTCCGGACGTGCGGCCTAAACCCCGCCTCGAACAACTTGGATTGAGCGCGTTGGTAATAAATTCAGAAATATACGAAAGAGTCAGACGAAGAGGACGGACAGGATCTGAGGTCGCAAAGATGTTTGTCCTGTCCGTCCTCTTCGTCTGACTCTTTCGTATATTTTTGAATCTAAAAGTTTGATGAAAATAATCCCCGGAGAAGGAAAACAAGAAGGACAAACGACAAACACAAACCTCCAAACACAGCTAGGTGACTGGTGAGCGACCGAAAAGATCCGCCTGGTCCCGGTATCGAACCCGGGACCTCTCCATTTCAGGTGGAGCACCCTACCAACTGAGCTAACCAGGGGTTAGACGTCAGTGGAGCAAACGGGTTTTATCAGCTGCCACCAGTCTAACACCAACGAGGGAGAAGCTTGCAATTTAAGGTTATAATTATAATGCAATTAATTGCAAGAGTGCAAGCGAGCTGGACAAGAATGATGAAAATAATCCCTGGAGAAGGGGAACAAGATGGACAAAGGACTAACATAAATCTCCAAACACAGCTAGGTGACTGGTGAGCAACCGAAAAAATCCGCCTGGTCCGGGTATCAAACCCGGGACCTCTCCATTTCAGGTGCAGCACTCTACCAACTGAGCTAACCAGGGTTTAGACGTCAGTAGAGCAAACGGTTTTATCAGCTGCCACCAGTTTGGATTTTTTTTATCTACAGATATATTTTTAAACGTGAAAGATTGGTATTACCTAAATAATAAAAAATATTTTGTTTAATTTTTTATCTTGCGTTCTGATTTGCTTGCAAAAAGACGTTACGTAACTCACGCACAAGCGTGAGGAAGAAAGAAAACTTAACGCTCCGATTTGTTTAAAATATCACTCATTTTTGCTCGTGTGCTCGTCTTCAGCCCCATATAACTCTTCTGAGGATTCTGGGATTTAAATACAGAAAAATGTACATGGAAGGAATCAAAGAAAAGACAAACGGTAATTAAAATATATGTCGGGATTACTTTGGTGCGTAAGGTTAGATTTAAATAGTCACTGCGGAACTGATCTGATTTAAATTACGATATGCATCGTGATTCAGATCATCTTTATTTTCCTTTTCCACACTGAGAAGTACAAATTACTATTCCGATGTCTGAGCTAATATTAGTAATTACCGCGTTTACTGCTGTGGTGCATTTGAGGTGAAACAGTTAGAAGAGAGGTAGAGACCGTCATAGAGGGCTATTAACGGCCGCAGTTACTATCTTTTTGCTAACTTGTTTTTCTAACAGCGTGCGAGTACGTATATTTTTATCATTGTAGAGATTTGAGGTCGCAACTGGCCCGACAATCCGCATCTGGTTGTGATTCTCGAAGAGCGTAATGAGCTTTCCTTTTAGTGGAGTCAGCGCCTGCTCAGAGAAGGTGATAACAAGCGTCTTTTCCCGTTACCATTTAGTTACAGTGATTAAGAGAAAACTCGAAAAGTCTCCGCGGCAACGCATCCACAAATGCTGCGAGGTGGCAAGTCAATGTATTCAAACCCCTCGCAATGTAACTTGAACTAAACGAAATTGCATTAGACGAAAGCTCTGCCTCCTTGTTTAATTAACTGGGGCTACATTTAAAAACATTGAAATAATAGTTCCCCCTCCTCTACTTCCAGGGATTGGGCCATCGGCTGCAGCCTGCTTACCCCCCCCCCCCCCCTTTCCCTTAATCCAGCGCTGTGAAAGACACGGTTCACACTGAATTTTCTAGAGTTCACACAAACGATCATAAAAAAAACCTGTATGATGCTGGCCGTCACATGCTGAGTAAAAGTTTAAATTTCTGAAGTTTGTTTCTAACCTCATGTGAAGAGCGTCTTTTAAAAGTTCCAGCACCCACCGACTAACGCAGCGCTGCAGGCGACGCGAGAGCAGAGTGCAAGAGGCAGGGTAAAAGCGACGATATTTACCATTAGGGCTCGTGTAATCGCCGATGGTCAGTCGGTAGCCGTCTTTTTTGGGACCGACTTTAAATTTACCATACTGTACAATAATTGTTTCGTCCTTTAGTGTTTTCAGTTCAATCCTGAGAACTTGATCGCTACTTGGATGGCTCGTGAGGGCATGAATATTGTTGAGCCCTTTAGTGGAATGTAAGAAATACATTCAGGATTAAAACACCAATACATCCTGCAAAGTAAGACTAACTCATAAATGTTTATAAAATTGAATATTTTATGATCGAGGTAAGGCGCAAGCTTACCCCTAACATAAGCTGCAGGAATGAGCATCACATTTTAAACCTGAAAGCCAGCAAAGTGTTTGTAAAGACTCGCTGACTTTACTGACCTGGCGTCAGTAAAGTGAACAAAACTGCAGAAATTAGCATCCTGTTTTAAATATAAATGCCCGCAATCGTAGGCAAAGTCTCACTGACTTTATTCACTTTACTGACCTGTTGTTTACTAGCAAGAAGCATAGAACAAACCAATCTAAAGATAATGCATTGAAAAGAAAAATATATTTGAGTAAAATAATAACGTTTCACACATTTCTTTAATTCACGATGTTTTACATATAACTATGTGCACCCATAGCAGTGGGAGCATATAACAGTTCAATAAGTCTAGTTCTATAATTGTTTCCCATCGTGATCAAGATGAAATGTAGGCCAATAACGATTCCACATTTTGTTGTTTTCTGTGTAATGCAAGAATAAGTTTTATGGATATTTTTTCTTCACGCAATAATACATTTTTATGAAGATGTTTTTTTATGTTTTTTTTTCATTTGATTCAAGTAATTGTAGATAAATATGTAACGTCACTGACAGATATGACTTGATGAGCGTTTTGTGTTCACCATTAAATTTAGCGGGAAGGTTTACCACGTCGCGTGACGTTACCATGTGATGTGACGTCACGATGGCACGTGACACCTGTAAACGTATTCTCCATTAAGATGAGTTTGGCGGGATCCTAGGCATGCTTTTCTTATCATTCCTGGTTCAATTTTTTAAGTGAATGCACAAGGATTGGTATAACTTGCCTATCCAGTATGAAGACGCGCCTCCGCGAAATCCTTCTTCATAGTCTTTTTCAGATTTCTCGAAGCCATTGCCCTCAAGTTCGTCCCAGGACCGACGTTGGATCACCTGGATGTCGATTGAGGAGTAAGCACGAAATCAAGCTTGTTTCTGACTTCTTTATGCTTATGCGAAGTAATGATATTTATACCCCAAAGTACCCGATCCTCTACCGCCTGGTTCGGGGAACCGCACAGACACGTTGAAGACGTCTGGCAAGAGCGGGCTTGGGGCCCGGGGCGCCCACCTTGACGTATTTATATTTTCCCGAGCGACATATTGCCGAAAGCGCAGCTAGCTGAGTAGGAAACGCCCCCGTGGCAGAATAAAGAAAAGAAAAACGCGCCCGTGGCAGAATGGTTATCGGGCTCGGCTCCCACGCAAAGAGCGTAGGTTCGATGCCTGGGAGTGGACGTACCTTTTTGTTATTTCTGTAAATGTCGCGTTTTGGTGTATTCGAGAATTTTGTTGCTTATTCGAGATCGGAATATCGTACACAGTAAAAATTTTTACACCCTTAAGGGTGTAGATCAGTTTGTCCCAGGGCTAACACCCTTAGGGTGTTCAGGCAAGCACCCTTTATAGTGGGTGCTTGCCCAGCACCCTTGGCGAAGGGTGCTTGGCATGGAATGGGCGCCCGCTGCGGTGGCCCAGTGGATGCTTGGCCACCCCAGCCAAACCAGCGCCGGGAGAGTATCACGCGACGTTTTGGTTGTTCAAGGTCACATGATGCTCTCTTGACGCTGGATTGGCCGGGATGGCTGGTAGATTCCGCCGCGCTCGGACGAAAGGTGAAATGAAGTACAAGCCCAAGTGAAAATTTTATAAGAATGTGTCCAATACACATATCAGAACTTGTAAATTGTACAAAAAATTATAAAAGATATTCATATTCTTATATTATTGTTATATGATTTACAGCTTATGCTTACTTTTACAGTTTTCACTTAGGGGGATTGCAACTTCACCACATACGAGGCGCGTGTTAAGGAAATAATGAGTCACACTGAGTAGAACTCACCTCATGAATAAGTATTACAAAAGAGCTCCTTGCAAGCCACATCATAACCCCGAGGACAACTGGGTAGTGCTACGGCGTCCCCCTTTCTCGAACTCTAAGTGAGCAAGCAGTGGCCCCAAACATGGTACTGCACGGCTGAACCATTGCAAGCATCACGGGCTGCCACAAACGAAGCACGTGGAGCTTTCCTAGTTGGATAACACGTGACATGTTTTGTTTGTCTCAGAGGATTGCAGGAAACAAGCTTCGCTTATCACTTGTCCCCTTATGCGCATCAGTTTACTAATTGAAGGCATGGTAGAGGGGCCTTGACTGAACCAGAGCAGTATTTCAGTAAGTGAAGCCCACTACATCAATGAGAATGTGTTAAATTTAACATTTATTGAACCGTAAGAGACAAATGAGAAATACAATGCATGCCATTCCATGACATAAAGAATGCTATCTGCAAACATTTAATGAAAAAGTATCACAGAATGAACTCGCACTTTACGTCAAAAAAGCGAATGTTTCAGAAGACGACGCTATCCTCTTGCTCATGTACAAGGAAAATTATAAAGTTCTGGAAGACGACTATGGATGAGGAACTTGCACAGCTAAATTTTTGAGCACCTCACCTACAGGAGGTCAGCATAAGCTATCACAAAAAGTGCCCGACGTTTAAAGATAGAAAAAGAAACATACCTACATAAACCCTTCTATCATTCGTTCTGTAAGAAAAATAAAATTAACCTGATAATACTGACGAAAAAAGTGCAATATACACTTTTAAAACGGTTCACCAAAATATCTGTTCAACCACATACCTGTCTGCATACTTTGTTCAAAAACTAATTACGACTGCCCTTCGAGTTGTGTCACTCAAGCCAAAAAAATTCCTCTCCAGAGCAACCGCGTGCTGAAGGCCTTGCGTTCGTACTGGATGCTGAACAGTCAATATACTGCCAACAACATGCACAGCCCCTCTCAGCATTAAAAACGGAGAACAAGCGCTCACGACCCACAACAAGGTGAAGAAAGTCTGCACCGTCCAGCTCTTGCTTGTTGTAGAGGACACATGGTGCCGGTGGAATGTTCTCGTCCTGCGTTAGGTAAAAGAAAAAAAGAAAAATGCATTTTAATGTAGAAGGCCAAAACATGTTTGCTCTTATCAACTGCTATTATTTGCAGCAGTTAAGGCCATGAGCATCAGCCTCCACACAGGCATAGAGTGCTTATATGTGAACAAGTAACCGGCGTCTGCAGCAATGTAAAACGAATGAAGAATTACAATCGGGACAACATCTCGACATGAAAGTATTGCGATATAATGTTAGGGACACTTTTGAGTATCTATTTCTGTACCAAGATGCATTTGGGAAATCTATTTGTATTTCAGTAGTGAAATACTTTTCCGATGAACATTATGATACGCTGCTAGACTGATGTATTTTGCTACATTTATTGCTGAGAATGAGCTGACAGGTTTGGAGATAAAAAATAGAATCCACGCCACAAATCCGACGCATCACTGGTTCATTTTCGCAATGAGTGATTTTTTTGCTTTGCTATCAGATTTTGCTT